GGGAGGCTTATTTGAGTAGCAAAACTCCGTTCTCCCGTACAGCCAGCTCTGCATGAATTACTCTTTCTCTATTGCAATTCTCCTGTCCTGATAAATCGGCACTGTCTAGGCAGCGGGTAAGGAGAATTCATTGGGCATTTACACCAGGACCCCAACTTTTAACCAAACTAATTTAGTGGTGAAGTTAAACCAATGCTCAATTTCAGGAATTGGTTATAGCCTTTGAAATGGCTAATCCATTTTTAAAAATTTTAAGATTGTCAGTAATAAATAAAACTAAGCTTACATGTAATTCAGCTTTGAGAAAATATTCTTATTTTATTTTTATATTGTGAGACAGAGTCTCCCTCTGTTACCCAGGCTGGAGTTCAGTGGCGTGAGCTGGGCTCACTGCAACCTCCACCTCCCGGATTCTAGTGAGTCTCCTGCCTTAGCCTCCCGAGTAGCTGGGACTACAGGTGCATGCCACCACACCCGGCTAATTTTTGTATATTCAGTACAGATTGGGTTTCACTATGTTGGCCAGGCTGGTCTCAAATTCCTTACCTCAGGTGATCTGCCTGCCTTGGCCTCCCAAAGTGCTGGGAGAGGAATGAGCCATTGCACCGGCCAGTTTTTAGTAAATATTTTTTTTTTTTGAGATGGAGTCTCACTCTGTCACCCAGGCTGGAGTGCAGTGGCATGATCTCGGCTCACTGCAAACTCCGCCTCTTGGGTTCAAGTGATTCTTCTGCCTCAGCCTCCTGGGTAACTGGGATTACAGGTGCCTGCCACCACACCTGGCTAATTTTTGTATTTTTAGTATAGATGGGGTTTCACCATATTGGCCAGGTTGGTCTCAAACTCCTAACTTTGTGATCCACCCACATTGGCCTCCCAAGTGCTGGGATTACAGGTGTGAGCTACTGCACCCAGCTTGAGAAAATATTCTTAAAGCCTAGCTCTTGATATGAGGGAGGTGGCAGGCATAATTTGACAGGGCCTTGAAGACAGTGACATAGGTGGAGTTTCAAAACTGTTTGAATGCCTCTTTACTAGGGCCTAAGATTTCCCAAACCTGGATCACCTGGGGCACTGGTGAAAAGCACAGATTCCCATCACTGCCTTGGAGATGTTGGATTCAGTGTGTCTCAGAGTAATTGGGGCTCAGGAATCTGGATTTTAAGGGATTCTTAAATTCTCCAAGACTGGGCCAGGCGTGGTGGCTCATGCCTGTAATCCTAGCACTTTGGGAGGCCTAGGCGGGTGAATCGCCTGAAGTCAGGAGTTCAAGACCAGCCTGGTCAACATGGCGAAACCTCATCTCTACTAAAATTACAAAAATTAGCCGGGTGTGGTGGCGCATGCCAATAATCCCAGCTACTTGGGAGGCTGAAGCAAGAGAATCACTTGAACCCAGGAGGTGGAGGTTGTAGTGAGCTGAGATCACACTGTTGTACTCCAGCCTGGGTGACAGAATGAGACTCCATCTGCAAAAAAGAAAAAAAAAAATTCTGCAAGATTGATAACCACTGCCCAGGACCTTTGGAATGAATCTTCTTAGAAAGGAATGAGGCCTTGGTGTCAGGACCTACTTCATCCCTAATCTGTTTAGAAGTTGCAAGACCCACATTCCAATGCACTGAAGGAAACATGATTATGTCCCTAAGTCCCAGTAGACTGTTGTGCTTGTCAAATGCACTGTGGGTCAATTCACATTTCATTGCTTCAAAGAATGCCATGGGCACCTTTATGACTCAGCAGTTGTTGGAAGATGGTCAGCCCTACCTGGATTATTTTAATATGCAGAGGTTATTGGAAGATGGCCTCAGGATGGCAGGAGCTGGGGGAACTCCACTGGACTGCCTGGGAAGACCAGTTCGACTGGTTCCAGAGTAGGGAATTTAATATTTGGATCCAGGTCTGCCTGACTCCTGCAGTTCATGCTGATCATTACCGTAGTAGCTCTCCCAAGTTAATACACAGAGTGCTCATCATCACACACATAACCCTGAGACACACTCCTACCTGCAGAAGTGAGACACGCTAGGTCTCTCGCAGACAGAACATTGCTTCCTGCTTTCCTCCTCTAGCCTAACCTTCCAGCCCTGCCCACCCTCTCTAAAGTATGGCTCTAACTGATTAACTTGTGATGGAAATCCTTCAATAGGTCCCCATTGCTATCACGTCAGGCTGATGCATTGATTCAACATTCAGGACTGTGGTAACCTAGATACAACTCCCTTTTTTTTGAGATTGGGTCTCTACCAAGTGCAGTGGCTCATGCCTGTAATCTCAGCACATTGGGAGGCTGAGGTGGGCAGATCACTTGAGGCCACGAGTTCAAAACCAGCCTGGGCCAACATGGTGAAACCCCATCTCTACTAAAAATACAAAAATTAGCTGGGTGTAGTGGCATGTGCCAGTAGTCCCAGCTACTGGGGAGGCTGAGGCATGAGAATTATTTGAATCCGGGAGGCAGAGGTTGCAGTGAGCCAAGATCGAGCTACTACGCTCCAGCCTGGGGTGACAGAGTGAGACTGTCTCAAAAAAAAAAAAAAAAAGAGAGAGAGAGAGAGAGATGGGAGAGTTGGGGTCTTGCTCTGTCACCCAGGCTGGAGTGCAGTGGTATAAGAGCTCACTGCAGCCTTAAACTCATGGGCTCAAGCTATCCTCCTGAGCACACACCTGTGGTCCCAGCTACTCAGGAGGCTGAAGAGGGAAGATCACTTGAGCCTAGAAAGGCAAGGCTGCAGTGAGCCATGATGATGCTACTGCACTCCAGTCTGGGTGATAGGGCAAGACCCTGTCTCTCATCTAAAAGAAAGAACGAACGAACGAACGAAAGAAAGAAAGAGAAGGAAAGAGAAAGAAAGAAAGAAAGGAAAGAAAGGAAAGAAAGAAAGGAAAGAAAGGAAGAAAAACAGAAATAGGAAATGAATATGTTATCCACTGAAGCCTTCTTCAACCAATTCATCTCCAACTATTCTTACCCTGGCCACTATGTATTTTCCTACTTCCACCCTTTTGCTCATGCTGTTGCCTCTGCTGGGGCACTCAGATCTCTCTCCTGAGCTCCTGTTAACGATTGCCTTTCACTGTACTCTGTGCCCTCAGCATTGACTGCCCGCTATCAGCAGAAGATCAGAAGCTCCTTGGAGGTTCTGTGCCTGTGACTTATTTTCCTCTGGACCCCATGGTCAGGAGTGGTCCACAGGTGTTTGCATAACTGACCTGGGGCGTCGTTATGTAAGGACTTCTGATTCTTACCTGCCAGCTGCATCAAGACCTGTCACCATGGAGGAAAAAGAGGAAGCTCCACACAAATTATTGGGGGAAGAGTTCCAAGATTAAGTGAAAGAGGCCAGGTGTGGTGGCTTACTCCTGTAATCCCAGCATTTTAGGAGGCCAAGGCAGGTAGATCACTTGAAGTCAGGAGTTTGAGACTAGCCTGGCCAACATGGCGAAACCCCATCTCCACTAAAAATACAGCACTCCAGCCTGGGCAACAGAGTGAGACACCATCTTAAAAATAAATAAATAAATAAAATAAAAATACAAACATTAGCCAAGGGTGATGGCAGGCACCTGTAATCCCAGCTACTCATTAGGCTGAGGCAGGAGAATCGCTTGACCAGGAGGTGGAGGTTGCAGTGAGTTGAGATTGCACCACTGCACTCCAGCCTGGGCGACAGAGTGAGACTCTATCTCAAGGGGGGAAGAAAAAGATGCAGAGGGTCAAAGAGTAAGTAGAATACGTTGCCATTTGTGTGAACAAGAAAAAAAAGTGTAATTTTGTTTGTTTTTGAGATAGTCTTACTCTGTTTCCCAGGCTGTAGTGCAACAGCACAATCTCAGCTCTCACTGCAACCTCAACTTCTTTGGCTCAAGTGATCCTCCTGCCTCAGCCTCCTGAGCAGCTGAGACTAAAGGCATGTGCCACTCCATGCTCGGTTAATTTTTACTTTTTTTTTTTTTTTTTTTTAAAGAAATGAAGTCTCCCTGTGTTGCCCAAGGTAAGTCTGGAACTCCTGGGCTCAAGCAGTCCTCCTGCTTCTGCCTCCGAAAGTGCTGGGATTACAAGCATGAGTCATCATGCCTGACCAAAAATTGTATAATTTAAAAAAGGCCTATCCTTGGAAAGATATGAAAAAAAGGTGTGAGTATATAATCCCACTGGGGCCTTCTGACTTCTGGACTTTATATACATATTACCTGTTCACTCACATAGCCCCCGACACAAAAATTAAAACATTCTAAATACTGATTCTTGGGCTGTATCCCCAGAAAAGTATCCAGGATATCAAAGGTTGGATGCAGGAGCCTGTGTCTAAAGCACTGTGTGTCAGTTCATTCCACACCTGGAACTGAATTCTCAGGAAGAGCCAAGATGCAAAGGATATTTGGAAGCATAAACTTTAAATGCATTTTATCAGGAAAATAAGTAGGAAGATCTCTAAGGGATTATGAAGCCACATTTGGGAACCCACTGATTTTGTTTGACCTCTGCTTTTTTTTTTTTTTTTTTTCCGGATAAGGATAGAGAGGGAGAGTGAGTTGCCTAAAGCTGCATACCCACACACCCACTCAGAGTCACAGGCCAGTGCCCCAGGATTTCTTTCTTCTTTCTTTCTTTTTTTGAGACGGAGTCTCGCTCTATCACCCAGGTTGGGGTAGAGTGGCGCCATCTGAGCTCTCCGCATCTCTGCTTCCCGAGTTCAAGTGATTCTTGTTCCTCAGCCTCCTGGGTAGCTGGGATTACAAGCGCCCGCTACTACCCCTGCCTAATTTGTGTATTTTTAGTAGAGACAGGGTTTCATCATGTTGGCCAGGCTGGTCTCAAACTCCTGACCCTCTGCCCACCTCAGCCTTCAAAAGTGTTGGGATTACAGGCATGAGCCACCGTGCCTGGCCACCCCAGGAATATTTGATAGCATCAACATCAAATCATCCCTGCCTGCCCTCGTGCAGGGACTTCTCACTTAGAAAGTTCTACAGACCCAACGGGCAGGACAGGAAGATAGAGAAGAAAACACCATCTTTAATCAACCCACCTGCACAGAAACCAGGAGAGCACTCCCCTCCTTGCAAGGTCCCAGTGAAAAGAGAACCTGGTCCCCTTGCAAAAACCATCTTATAAAAACAAAAGGCTTCAAAGCACCAGTGGCTGCACCCGTTGAGTAGAAAGGGGCCTGGGAGAGTGGGGTTGAGAGAAGTGGGGGCTGGAGGCAGGGGCTGGCCCAGTGAACGGCAGCAGCTTAGCCTGAGGGAGCTGCCCCCCTCTTGAGCTGCACCCAGCAGCTAGGAGCTCCATGCCTGTGGGGGCCAGAGGAACTCCTGGGGCTGGCTGCTTGCAGTTGGGATGGTGGGGTGGGGTTGTCAGCCTTGCTCAGGATATTTTGGCCGTAGAGAGTAGGGAATGATAGATTGGAGGGTTGTGGGCGAGGAGCAAAGTGGTCACCAGACAGGCTCAGGTGTGCAAACCATACACACCATCTGGGTGTCCCCCCAGTTCCTCCATGCCTCCTGCCCTCCTTTCTAACCCAGGGCCACACCTCTTTCACAGATGAAATGCTGAGGCCTGATCCTCTCATCTATGGACACACCAGGCAGTGTGTGGGATGCAGGGTCCTCAGGAGTGTCTGTGGAGGGAGGTGGGGAAAGTGTTCTCGCCTCTACTTGCCCCCAAGGAAGGGTGAGGGTGCTGGCAATCCTGACTCCCCCACTACTCACACCCCCATCTGCCCCTTCAGAACTCCTTGTGGGCTTGTTAGAGGAGGCTTCTGGCCATTGAATTGGTTGTAAAAGCTGGTGATCTGTAAACACTGGAGTCTGGGCAGTGCTGACCAGCATTGCTCCCCTCTGGAACCACAAGCCTTCCAACTGGTGAGGTGGATGGAGCCATCAGGGGTGAATGGAGTTGTGGAGGGGATGGGGATACAGTAGAACCAGCCTCAGGGACCTGGAAAGGGGCGGGGTGACTGAGTTGGGGCCCCACTTTCCTGGAGGAGAGAACTTGAAAGATTTGCCAAGGGTGGACAGAGGCTGAGCGTAGGAAGGCTTCTCTGTGGGTGGGGCTGAATTTAGGGCTCTGTCCATCCGCTTCCCAATAAGAGAACGAATGGGTATATTGCTTTAAGAGAGGCATTGGCAAGTGGTGGCGGTGGTGTGTGAATATGGTGGAGACCACATGGGTCCAAGCTGGAGGGGGGCTTGAAATTGAACTCAGAGAGCAGACGTGGGTTTTACAGTTAGAAACTGCAGAAAGTACACTGTGTTCAAGGCCCACTTCCACCAAAAATCTAGCTGTGTGGCCTCAAGCAAATTGCATCTCTGGGCCTCAGTTTTAATGTACTGCAAAATGGGAATTTTAATCCCAGTCTAGCTCAGGGAATTGAGTTAAATGAGAAGTCTAAAAGAGTCCATTTGCTAAGGAATTAATCACTTGAGGAGGGGAAACCGAGCCCCAGAGAGGGCAAGGGCTTAGCCAGACATCACAGTCAGTGTTGGACCTGCGATTAGAACCCAGGACTCCTGCTCCTAGTTCAGAGTAGCTTTCCCCAGAGCTGGTGAGTGAGTGTGGTGGGATGGGATGGGTGTGATGTCCTGCTGTTTTTGGACAGGGGGGCAGGATGCTGGGTGAAGGGTGAAAGAGAGGCTGGAGAAGAGAGGAAGGCCCCAGCTCACGCCAAGGCTGAGATTAAAAACAAATAAACAAACAAAAAACCCGCGGTGCCCCTCCCCCGCCCCGCCCCACTCCTCCGAAGTCCGGGCTGCGAAGAGCCAAGGCCAAGTCCAAGTCCAAGTCCAAATCCGCGTCTCCGGCTGCAGACCCGGGGGCGGGCGCAGGCTGCAGTGAGCGCGCGAGCCACCAGGGGGCGCGCCTGCGCCTTGGCCTGAGCTCAAGGCAGCTGCGGACAGTCCAGGGGCCCAAGGCGAGGCGCCGAGGTGGGCGCGGGGCAGAGGCTACCCCGACCTGCGGGAAACAAAGGCAGGTTAGGGACAGTGGACCTCAAAAGTATGGGGTCGGAGAGACCCGGTTGCCCTGCCCACTCCTCCGTCCCCTCCTTTTCGCAACCCCGACGCCCGGGCTTCCCCAAGCCAGCAGGGCGCCGTGACCCACGTGTACAGAGGCTGCAGCTGTAAATGCGACGTCTTCTGGGGCGCCTGGTATCCGTAGGAGTCAAAGCCGCCGATGAAGTCAACTGCGGAAGGGGGGCGGCGCGTGTTAGAGTTCAGCGGCGGGGTGAGGAGAGGGAGACTGGGTCCTGAAGGTGGGGAATCTGAGGGCAGGACCCCCACCCGAGGAAGCGGAGCCAGAGAAGCCGTGAGGAGGGGAGGAGCGAGGGTCAGACCCCGTGCAGGGCCTGGGGCGGGGCTTCGGCTGGACCCTGAGGGATGGGCCTCTGGGGGTCTGGAGGCGGCGGGGCCGGGCCAGCGGAGGGTCAGGCCCCAATCCTTAAGGCTTGGGCCTGGGAGGCCGGGCGGTCCTATGGGAGAGAAGGCTCTTGGGGGCGGGGCTGGAGCCTCTAAAGGGGACAAGACCTCTGATGAGGTCCACGTGGAGCGAGATTGGGGAAAGGCGGTGCTGGGGCCAGGGACTGGGCACCTGGACGTCTGGACCCCAGCCCGGAACGGGCTGGTATTCAGAGCCTTCCACACCAGCCGCCTCTTCCCCCCGAAAGGGGCCAATGACTTGGGCTCCCTCCCGCCACGGCCCGTCACAGGCCTCTGTCCAGGGTGCTGAAGGTACGGGGCCAGATTCCCCTCTTCCCTAGGGGCGCCTTACTCACAGCTGTCCTCCTCCTCCAGGAACACTTTGCTCACGTAGCAGGCGAACACGAAGCCGAACAGCTGGGAGTGGAGGTGACACGTCAGGGAGGGAAGGAGGAGTGGGAACCTCTTCCTCCACCCCCTGCAGGGCCCTGTACGCCCTGACTGGCAAGGGAGGAGGCATGCCAGGATGAAGGCAAACCCGTAACAACTTCCAGTTAAATGTTTTCACCTTAAAGTCAAACATACATGGTTTAACTCTTCTGAAAGTGTGACTTGAGGCAAATAATCATTTTACCTCTTTGAGCCTCAGTTTTCCCAGTTGGACTTATGGTGTGTTAAGAAGAAAGAGGATTATGTGACTTTGTGGGTACAAAGTGCCTAGGACAGGGCTGGCCCTTCTAGAAACAGGAACTACTCCTATCTTGGAGTTAGTTTCTTCTTTCTTTCTTTCTTTCCTTCTTTTTCTTTCTTTTTCTTGTTTCTTCCTTCCTTCCTTCCTTCCTTCCTTCCTTCCTTCCTTCCTTCCTTCCTTCCTTCCTTCTTTCAGACAGGGTCTCACTCTATCACCCAGGTTGGAGTGCAGTGATGCAATCATGGCTCACTTCAGCTTCAACCTCCTGGGCTCAAGCGATCCTCCTGCCTCAGCCTCTCAAGTAGCTGGCTTTGTAGGCATGAGGCACCACGCCCACTGGGGTCACTTTTTTATTCTCACAACTCTGAGGCTGGTATTGTCATTCCTTTTTGTGAATAAGGAAACAAGCTCCAAGAAGGCAAGTGACTTGTCCAAAGTCACGCAGTGGGTGTATTGAGCATTTAAACCCAGGATTGATTCATAGTCTGATGCCTCATCCTATTCACTAAACCTGTTCACTCCCTGCATAGGCGCTGGGGCAGGGGTGAGGGAAGGTGGTACAGGATATGGAAACAGATGCAGACAAAAGGACAGACAGGTGGAAAACCTAGGTTTATCCCCTCTTTTTTTTTTTTTTTTTTAAGGAGTTTCCCTCTTGTTGCCCAGGCTGGAGTGCAATGGTGCAATTTTGGCTCACTGCAACCTCCACCTCCCGGGTTCAAGCGATTCTCCTGCCTCAGCCTCCCAAGTAAGCGGGATTACAGGCATGTGCCACCACACCTGGCTAATTTTGTATTTTTAGTAGAGACGGGGTTTCTCCATGTTGGTCAGGCTGGTCTTGAACTCCTGACCTTAGGTGATCAGCCCGCCTCGGCCTCCCAAAGTGCTGGGATTGCAGGTGTGAGCCACCGTGCCCGACCCATCATCCCCTCTTAACTAGAGCTAAAGAAAGGGATCGGGAAGTGTGTGTAGGGTGGGAGACAGAAGGACTCACTGCCAGGAAGATCTGCAGGGCGCTGCTGAGGGCTTCAATGTAGGGATAGTCAAGCAAGCAGCCAGTGACAGAGATGACATGGTGGTCCTCCAGAGCCAGGCGGGAGTTCAGAACAGGTGTCACCAGGCAGCCTGGTCCATTCTCCATCCACCAGGAGCGGTGCAGGGATGTGTTGAAGGTCATGATGAAGTCCCGGTCCTGGGGGCAAAGGGGCCTGGGATACTGAATGTGAGGGAGAGGGAGGGGGGAGCTACTCCCCCAGCCCAGGGAGACTTCATATTGATGGGTAAAGGGATTCAGGGAGTCTGCACCTGCAAGTCCATATTTGGCCAACAGGTGGCACTTGATGACCACACAGGCCTCACTCTTTTCTCATTGAGATGGGAAGGGGTTTGTGTGGACTCACAGGGGCCTCAGAATTTTCAGAGCTGGAAGGAACATTAACAATTTCCCAGCCACAGGTGAAATCCTCAGTACAGGCCCCTTCACAGCCCATTCAGTCTCTCCACTGCTCCCACTGTGTGCGACCCTGGGCGAACCTTTCCTTTGGGGCCTCAGTCTCCGCATTTGTTAAATGGAGAAGGGCTGGCCTAGATCGGAAGTTCTCACCCAGGGTGTGCACCCAGGTGCCCATCCATGCAGTCACTCATTCAGCAGGTAAATACTCACTGCCTGCCGACCAGGGGCCAAGCACTCAGATGTGCGATCTTATTTTATCCCCTCAGCAACCACATGAAGTTGCAGTTGCTTTATGTCCACTTACTAGATGAGGAAACTGGGGCTCAGACAGGATCGGCCCCTTGCCCAGGGTAATATAGCTAGAAGCTTTCAGAGCTGGGATTGGAACCTAGCAGGGTCAAACTACAAAGCCAATGCTCTTAAATTCACATATTTTGTCTCCTTTATATCTAAAAATAGAAGTCGTGTCTCTCTGGGCTTGCTCTTATTCAAGTGAAACAGTCCTACTTTCTTCAGCAGTTCTTCGTGTGACATGGTCTGCTCAATCTTCCCTGAACAAACTCTAGTCTCTTTCCCTTCTGAAAAATATTGATCAGAATTAGAGCCAAATCTTTGTGATCTAAGCAGTACAAAGCATGTGGCATTTTCACCTCCCTTGCTCTGAATACTCTACCTCTATTAGTGGGGCCTAAGAGTAGCTTTCTGGGCTACCACATACTGTTGGTTTTTACTGAGCTTGTGATCAACTGGGACCCCTGGCTCATCTTCACATGGGCTGCTCTTCAGCCTTATCTGCTCCATCATTGTGTTTGAGGTAGCCAGAAATGGATTGGTACGTGGAAAACGGGGCACACAGATTATTTGGGCGTGTAAGGAGAGGGAGGCTTCTTCAAGACATGATGCTCTGGTCCTATAACACAATACCCTTGGGGAAGGGGATGGGAATGATCAGGTTCTGCCCTGTGGCACTGCCAGGCCTGAGGCTTACCTGGGACAGCTGTCCAACCTCCAAGTAGAAGCAGATGATAAACGCATTCCAGCCAACCCAGAGCACCAGCCAGGCTGCATACTGGGGAAAGCAGAGGTGGGATCAGGGTGGGGCCTGGGGAGTGGGGTAGGGGGAGTGTCAGTGGAGACAGAGCTCAGGGATGAGGAGATCTGGGCAGGGGAAATTATGAGAATACCTCACTCAGAGAGCACAGTGTAGCCTACAAATCATTTACACACCCATCAGGCCTTACCACAGCCCTGCAAGGTTAGCACTGCCCTCTCTTCAGAGAAAACTAATTTAAAGCTGAAAGGAAGTTTAAGCTTTCCAAGATCACACAGCTAGGAGGAGGTAGGGCTGCCACTCAAATCCAAGTTCTCTGCTAGCTAATCCCATCCACTCTGCTAACAACATCCTCTAGACCAGCTGTCTCTAGAATACTGGAATCATTCAAGGATGTTTGTCAAAAATGCAGATTCTGGGGTCCTACCTCTAGACCTACTGATTCCGAATTTCTAGGGATGCTGTTTAAAAGCTGTTTAAGCAATCCCTAGGGGATTGTAAATCGGATGACCCTTTCAGAAACATGTTCCAGGTGGTAAGCCACTAGAGGGCGAGGACTTTGCCTGCCTGGCTCACCACTGCAATGCCAATGCCTAGCACAGAATAGCTGGATGAACCCGTTAAGACTATAGGAAATGGGCCAGGTGCAGTGGCTCATACCTGTAATCTCAGCACTTTGGGAGGCTGAGGTGGGCAGATCACTTGAGCCCAGGAGTTCAAGACCAGTCTGGGCAACATGGAGAAAACCCATCTCTTAAAAAAAAAAAAAAGAGGCCAGGCACAGTGGCTCACGCTTGTAATCCCAGCACTTTGGAAGGCCGAGGTGGGCAGGTCATCTGAGTTCGGGAGTCTGAGACCAGCCTGACCAACATGGAGAAACCCTGTCTCTACTAAAAATACAAAATTAGCCAGGCATGGTGGCGCATGCCTGTAGTCCCAACTACTCAGGAGGCTGAGGCAGGAGAATCGCTTGAACCTGGGAGGTGGAGGTTGTGGTGAGCTGAGATCACACCACTGGACTCCAGCCTGGGCAACAAGAGTGAAACTCCGTCTCAAAAAAAAAAAAAGTCTTAATTATTATTATTATTTTTTTTAGGCAAAATCTCAGTCTGTCACCCAGGCTGGAGGACAGTGGATGCTGGGAACTTCAGACCAAAAGAGACAGGAGGTTATCCTGCAGCCTTTTTCCTGAGTATGAGTGTGACATCTTCTCACATGGCTGTGGCTGGAGTCTGGATATAAGGGAACCAGGGGAGGTGGAGGCAGGATCATAGATGGGGCCTGGAGAAAGGCTGGGGTGAGCAGACGACAATGAGGCCCCAAGCATAGAAAGGGAGTCCAGCCTGGGCCCTGGATGCCCTCACTCTGTCACTTTCCTCCCTCCCCTGCTTGCTCTGTAAATTGTACCTGAATGACACAGGTCGATCTGCCCTGCTCCAGCAATCTTTCCATCTGTCTGGAGGGAGAGGGCTGGGATGGGAGGGACTGGGAGCTGCATTGCTAGGGCAACACCGAGACCCCTGGGCCCCTCAGTTCTCCCACATCCCGAATGTGGCCACCTCTGGGGAGAACAGCATTCCACCCACGGCAGTGAGCTGGAAAGGAGGTTAGGGTCGATTTGAGAGCTGGATGCTGCTACCCAAGTCCTGTGCCTGCAATTCTAGTGGCTGTCAGCTGGCAGACAGTGTTGTTGACAGTGGTGCCTGGGGCTTCCCTGAGAACTGGAGAGAAGGGTTCTCTTACGTCAGATGAGAGAGAGCCTTGTTAGTGTCCTGTTCACCTGGCTTATGGGAGCTGAGCCTGCGGAGGTGGGGAAAGAAGTCCTAGAATGAGTGTGCGTGGGCTCTGGAGGCAGCATGACATTGCATGTCATTGTGATTGTAGGTGTCAAGCATGTATGTAGTAAATCTAGTGAAAAGCCTTTTCGCTCAAGAGAGCCATGTGAAGAGGTCACTGAGGAACAGCAGGCGATATGGGTGAATCTAGCTGAAAGCAGGAGTTTGACAGAGACCATTAGGGACCAGGACTTGGGAAGAGGCTGTCGGGGAGGAGGAGAGAGACCCAGACTCCTGGGACTGGAGCGCAGGGAGGCACTGACCTCAAAGCCACACTAGCTGCTCCAGACCACATCCTTGATGTACACTGGGCAGAAGAGACAAATGCCAAGCCTTCCTGAAGCTTCCTGAGAAACTAAATAAGATGAAACCCACCCCTCCTGTGTCCCTGCGCCCATCCCTCGGCTTAGTGAGGGTGTGTGGTGCCGTGGCAGGAGCCTTCACTGTAGATCTGATGTTCTAATCCTGCCTTGCTTTCATTAGCTGTGTGACCTTAGGAAGACTCGCAACCTTTCTGAGCTTCAGTTTCCTCATCTGGAAAATGGAGCTGGTAAGGTCTGCCTCACAGGGCTACTGCAGACATGAGATGAAGCACGTGAAATTTAGCAGCGTGCCTGGCACATGCCAGGCACTCACTACATGATCCATTTTGTTTATATTTGGATTATTTCCCTAAAAAATTCTTCAGGAAAAAAAAAACAAACCCTGTCTCCTCTGAGCAAAGAAGCACTGGGCTGTGCACATTCACCCCATCTTGCTTTGGGTGGAGTCAAGACCAGTGCCCCAGTGTTGGGAGGCAGTTCTGGTTTTGAGGAGCAGGGAGGGGTGGAGTGGGCAGGGGTGAGGAGAGGAGTTGGCTTGGGAAGGGGCTAGGTGAGCCGTACCAGGATGAGGTACCGGGATCGGTACTGCACGGTGCCAAAGATGCCCAGGATGACTGCCATGATGTGCAGGAAGTTGGCTAGGATGGGAGCCCACTGGTAGCCCAAGAAGTCAAAGATCTGCCGCTCCAGCGCAGCCACCTGTGGAAGAGACAGGCTGAGGCCACTGTCATCCCCTGAAAGGGAAGGACAGGGATTCCTGCTTGACCTTGGGGAGCAGGTGGCACCAGTTACCATGGTGATGAGGCGTAAGTCTCAGAACCATCCAGTCCTTCACTACCAAAGGGATGCTGGGGGTCCTTAAGCCTGGTCATTACTTTGGGATGGGCTGAAAGGTGATAGGAGCCAGGATGCAGAATACCTTCCTCCCCACCAAGAGGCCCTTCCCTCTAGCAGCTCAAGCTCCTGCATCTACTCCGTGTGGGGAAGACAGTGGGGTCAGAATCCAGACTGTCACTCCAAGCCTTGGAGGGCAGGGAAGTCCTGGAGCCACAGTTACCTCTTCCACGGATCCCTATCTGGAGCTTGCCCTGGCCCATGACATCCATGGGCTACAGAGAAGAGAATGCTTTTCACTCCCCTTCCCTGAGGGAGTTGGAATAGATTGCAAAATTGGCCTCAAATCCTCCTCTTCCTGTTTCCATGCTCTTCCGTAGTGCCCTTCTACACTAATGCTGTGCTTGGCCACGCGACTTGCTTTGCCTAAAGGGACTTTGTCAAACACGATGCAAACGTGTTTGAAAAAGGCTTGAAAAATGCATGCGTCCAGTCTGGGCATCATGGTGAAACCCCGTCTCGACAAAAAATACAAACCATTGCCAGGTGTGGTGGTGCGCGCCTGTAGTCCCAGCTACTCGGGAGGCTTAGGTGAGAGAATTGCTTGAGCCCAGAAAGCAGAGGTTGCAGTGAGCCAAGATCATGCCACTGCACTCCAGCCTGGGCGACAGAGTGAGACCCTGTCTCAAAAAAAATAAAGAAAAAAAGAAAAAAAATGGGTGTGCTTTGGAGCTTGCCCACTTGCTTCACTTGTAACAAGACCACCTTGTGAACAAGCCCCAGCTGACCTGCTGGAGGATGAGAGGCCGCGGGGAGGAGAGCGAAGGCACCCCAGCTGACAGCCCATCAGCCATCAGCCATGTGAGCAAGGCCATGCTAGATCACCCTGGATCACTAGCTGACCAGAGACACATAGCCCAGACCAGAAGAATCTCCCAGCTTTCCCACAGAATCATGAACTAAATAAAATGGTCGTTTATTTTTTATTTCTAAATATTTATTATCATTATTTTTAAACAGAGTCTTGCTCTGTCACCCAGGCTGCAGTGCAGTGGGGCTATCTCAGCTCACTGCAACCTCCGCCTCATGGGTTCAAGCAATTCTCCTGCCTCAGCCTCCTGAGTAGCTGGGACCACAGGCACCTGCCCTCATACTCAGCTAATTTTTGTATTTTTAGTAGAGGCAGAGTTTCACCATGTTGGCCAGGCTGGTCTCGAACTCCTGACCTCAAATGATCCACCCACCTCAGCCTCCCAAAGTGCTGGGATTATAGGTGTGAGCCACCAGGCCCAGCCAAATTTTGCTTTAAAGAACCACCTCCTACCATTCTGTCCACATGGCATGAGTGGGGCTGACTCATTTCTAGTTTCTGGGGTGGGCAGGTGAGCCAAGTCTAGCCAAATAATCAAAGACAATGATGAATTTAGGGATAGGCGCTCACTTTGTGCTCTGCCCCTGAGAATCACCCTGGATATTTGCTAGAATAATCGGGAAGAGCTGCTCTCCTGCCAGGATACCCTGAATGGGTGTGGTGTGAGCTTGGAGCTGTTGGTGGCTGCCTTGGCCACCTCAAGTGGATGGCCTGCCTGAGGACAAAGCCATAGCTAAGGTACAGAGAGAGTGTGTGTGGGAGGAAGACTGAACACACACAAGGGAATGTCCTGTGCCATCTTTCAGGCCTCTGAATACAGCCATGCCTAAAGTTGGTTCTCCCTCCTTGTCCTGCCGATTTTTGTCATTTGCAACGAAGAGCCCTAACTACAACAGAAGAGGAGAGAAGAGGGTCTGGCTGGGGAGGGGGAGGGAAGATTCAGATAAAGTGAGAAGATATAAGAAGCCTTTTTCCAGGCAGGGAGGCAGAAGGAGGTGGAGCTGATGCTACCACACAGATGGCAAGGCTTGGGCAGAGACCAAGGAAGCTGCAGGCTTGGGCAAGGTGGTGAGGGAAGCCTGGTGGTGCCAGGCCCAACCTTGGCATTTACCCACCTGGCACCAGCCTGCCTCTTGATGGTGACTCCCCTCCCAGGGATCTGCAGATTGTAAAGCTCATCTCTCACTGGATGCTCCTTGGCAGAACGGCAGAGCTGGAATCATTATTTCATTTTGAGGAAAGGGAAGATGAGGTTCAGAGAGGGGAAGTGACTTGTCCAAGGTCACACAGCAGGTTGGTGGCAGAATAGGCCTTTCTCAGCCACCTGTCCTATCTTGGCACCACCTTTCCCATCTTGGCATGGGTAAGGGAGTCAAGAAGTGTAAATTGTGGTGGGAAGTCTGCCTCTGACTCCTGGGTGACTTTGGGCAGCCCACTTTCCCCGCTGGGTTTGGCGCTCCTCTTCCATGCATGGAAGTCACTGGACTAGGTAATCTCCAAGGGCCCTTCCAGCCTTGACTTCCATCGTCTGCTGGCCTTGTGGGAGAAACTCCCCAAGCTTGTTCAGGGGCCTCTGTCACGGTCACGGTCTCTGTCTGCTGCTCCTATGCCACTCTTCCTCCAGTCCACTCTTCCTCTTTCCACCCTGACTCTGCCTGGCCTTGGGAGCCTTGGTGGTCTGGGGTCCAGCTCAATGTTCTTGACTCAGCTGTTACCTGGCCCTAAGGGAGAAGGTCTCCGTCAGAGGATGGAGGAGGAGGCTGTGACAGAGCTATCCAGGCTCACGGTGCAGCTAAGGCACCCTGCCAAATACATCCACCTAAGGCTGGGCGCGGTGACTCACGCCTGTAATCCCAGCACTTTGGGAGGCCAAGGTGGGCGGATCACTTGAGGTCAGGAGTTTGAGGCCAGCCTGGCCAACATGGTGAAACTCCATCTCTACTGAAAATACGAAAGTTAGCTGGGTGTGGAGACTAGGGGAGGAGAATTGCTTGAACCTGGGAGGCAGAGGCTGCAGTGAGTTGAGATTGCGCCACTGTACTCCAGCCTGGGTGACAGAGTGAGACTCTGTCTCAAAAAAAGGGAAAAAAAAAGTCCACCTAAAAGATGATATCATCTCCACCCAAACTGGCACCTACTCAAAACCCCTCTGTTCTCTGTGACCTTATTGATAGAAAACAGAGAGGGATAGTTTGTTTTGTTTGTTTGTTTTGTTTTTTAAAGCAGTAGCAGATTTGTAGTCACTTAAACTCAGATTCAAATTCCGGCTCTGCTGTGTGACTTAGAGCAAGTCACTTTCCCTCTCTGAATCTATTTCTTCAACTATAAATAGAGAAGATAATCCCTCTCTTGAGAAGTTGTTGTGAGGATATAGAGATATCGCATAAACTAACAGACAATTAGACTTAATATATAGCAGCTAATTAATAGAAGGCTTAACAGTCTAAGCTTCTTAGTTTGGCACTGAGGGCCCACTAGGATCTGGCTCAATCCTGTATTTCCCATCAGCTCCTGCCCCCAAGAGGCTGTAACAACAGTTGAAGTCCTACCTTCATTTGTCTTTGCCTTATTTTTTATTTTATATTTTATTTTGAGAAAGAGTCTTGCACTTTTGCCCAGGTTGGGGTGCAATGTGGTGATTACAGCCCACTGCAACCTCAATTTCCTGGGCTCAAGGCATCCTCCTGCCTCAGCCTCCTTAGTAGCTGGGACTACAGGCAGGTGCCACTGCATCTGGGTAATTTTAAAATATTTTGTAGAGATTGGGTCTCACTATGTTGCCTGGGGTAGTCTTGAACTCCTGGCCTCAAGTGATCTTCCCGCCCTGGCCTCCCAAAATGCTGGGATTACAGACATAAGCCACTGCTCCGGGCCTCCCTTTGCCTTTATCCAAGTCCTCCTTAGTTTTCACGGTGTAGCTCAGTTCCCTCTTTTGGTAGGAAGGCCTCCCTGACTGGCCCACAGGGACTGCTCTCTCCACTTGACATGGAGTGGAGGCTGTTCTTCCCACTCTCAGCATGGCTCTGGCCTTCCTTCATCCTCACACCCAGCAACCATTCACTCATTTATCTATAACCAGCCAGACCCATTTATCCATCCATCCGACATCTGACATGCCCTCACCCAGCCAGGGTTCATCACTTATTTATTCACAGAACGTTTAGTCTATGGCAGGCTTTGTGCGAACTCCCGGATGTAGGAGTGAAGAAGTTGTGGTCCCTGCCCCTTTGAAACTCAGGACCTACTTAGTAGAGGAGGGGGACAGGAAATCAGTACAAACCGGGGAGTCAGGGCTATGACCCAGGCCTGAAAAAGGCCATCTCTTCCTCTGATGGTGAGTGCAGATTTAAACAAATCTTTTTTTTTTTTTTTTTTTTTGAAATCTCGCTCTGTCGCCCAGGCTGGAGTGCAGTGGCATGCTATCAGCTCAATGCAAGCTCCGCTTCCTGGGTTCACACCATTCTCCTGCCTCAGCCTCCCAAGTAGCTGGGACTACAGGCGCATCCCACCATACCCAGTTGATTTTTTTTTTTTTTTTGAGACGGAGTCTCGCCCTGTCGCCCAGGTTGGAGCGCAGTGGCTCGATCTGGGCTCACTGCAAGCTCCGCCGCCTGGGTTCAGGCCATTCTCCTGCCTCAGCCTCCCCAGTAGCTGGGACTACAGGCGCCTGCCGCCACGCCCGGCTAATTTTTTGTATTTTTAGTACAGGCGGGGTTTCACTGTGTTAGTCAGGATGGTCTCTATCTCCTGACCTCGTGATTCGCCCGCCTCGGCCTTCCAAAGTGCTGGAATTACAGGTGTGAGCCACCGCGCCCGGCCCCAGTTGATTTTTGTATTTTTTGTAGAGAACAGGATCTCGCCCTGTTGCCCAGCCTAGTCTCCTACTCTCCTGGGCTCATGTGATCCACCCACCTTGGCCTCCCAAAGTGCTGGGATTACAAGCATGAGCCACCATGCCTGGCCTAAATATGTATTTTTAAAAATTTAGATGTAG